TATATATATATATATATATATATATGTATATATATATATATATATATATATATATATATATATATATATATATATATATATATATATATATATATATATATATATATATATATATATATATATATTAAAAAATTTAAATTAGAAGACTGGAAAAAGAATAAAAATAATTTTTTTTTTTTGATAAAATTTTTGTTGATAGATTTCCTGCTCAAACCAAATCCTCAGTCAATATAGCATCATTCTTAGTGCATGTTCTTCTTATTCATCTTCTTATTTATATTGTATGTTCTTATTTATCAGTCAATGAAGTAGAACTTGTTGCATGTTCTAGCTATTTGAATCTAAAAAATCGATCCAGCATTCATTTACAAGTTTATTTCCTGCTAAGACACTGATATAAAAATTAAAGTTATAAAAATTACTAAAGAAATCAACTGAAAATTAATCTTCCTATCAGTTTACTTGATATTAGTAAAAAACACAAACTTACGATTTTTAGGAAAAAGATGGCAGTAACTTTTAAACACAAATCAGGGTCAGGTGATCAGTCTATTAATTTCAAACCAATTTCAATATGAACTATACCTTTACAGGTAATTCAAAAATCTCTAACTTTTATACAGCAAGAAATTCAGATAATGCAGTCTTATGCTGACTTTCCACGCCTAAGCGTGTTAGACTTTTAACATGGCGCTCAGACACCTTTTTTCTGCATTATTTATCCACTTGATATATGCGTTTTGCACAATTAGAGATAAATTCAATTTAAAAGCTGATATCATTTGTAAGCAGGCTTGGTTGGGAAACGGGTGCAATCGCACTCTATAACTAACCACAGAAATAATATTTAGTTGCAAAAAACCGGCCAGATTTTTTAGTCGTTTTGAGAACATTTAAATTAATGTATGTTTCCTTGTTTGTCCGCAGAATAATCAATATTTTATTGTAAATTTTAAAATATTTTGTTTTACGGACATACATGCTAACATACATAAACTTGATGGTCTGTGTGGAAAAATAAAAAAAGAATATTTGCGAACACAAAAATCCCGACAAATCTACAAACAACTAATTCTATTGGTTCAAAAATTACTAACCGAAGTTTCTAGAGTATTCAAAAAATAGCTAGCTTAAATTGTTTTAAGAATATACTATCAAACGAACTATTTTTTTTAATTCTATGGCTCATTCTCGGAGCCACATCTACAAAGCTATAAATGTTTTAAACTAACATCATTTGTTTACTAAAATAAATATTTTAAGTTTATATTTTTTAACTTGTCAAAGTTTTGTAAATTTATAATAGATTTTATTAGTCTATTCTTATTTTTTATATATAAGGGATGTATTTGTTATGCATGTAATGTATTTTTATCAGTGCCGGATCAAGGGAAGGGAGGGGGGGCTAGGGGGACTATAGCCCTGGGCCCTGCAAATTTAGGGGCCCCCAAAAATTTTAGAGGACTTTTTTCTTTTTTTAAGTCATTATTAGGCTCTGGCCCATAAAAAGGCCTTCGAAAACAAAAATAGCCCTGGGCCCCAAGAAGTCTTAATCCGCCACTGATTTTTATGTATGTAATGTATTTTTATGTATGTAATGTATTTTTATGTTTGTAATGTATTTTTATGTATGTAATGTATTTTTATGTATGTAATGTATTTTTATGTATGTAATGTATTTTTATGTATGTAATTTTATGTATGTATATTTTATTCAAATGTAATCTTTTAAAACAATTTGTGCCATTGATTTTGTAAACAAAAATACTTTCAATAATAACTGCGTTTTCAATGAAATTATTAATAATCATCAAAGTTAATACAAAAAAAGGCGGACGTTTATTTCAGGCACCCCCCTTTAGTAAGACCGTAAAAAAATTTTACACGAAACGAGTATTGTTGAAAACCATATCCTAACCAAACCTAACCCTGAAAGTTATGGTTAGGGTCCGGGTTTGGTATAGGGTTTGGTTTAGGTATGGCTTTCAATATAAAAAATTTGATTTTGGGGTTCAGGTTAGAGTATAATTTTTAATAAATGTTATGCGTAAAACATGACTTGTTTTTTACGGACTTACTAAAGCGGGGTGCCTGAAATACACGTCCACCCAAAAAAACTTTAACCGCTAATTTATTTTCCTTAGTGTACCCGATAACTGGTTCTTTCCCCCAAAAAAGAAAAGTTTTTAAGTTCTTAGAAATTGGTTTACTAACTTATTTATACTAAATTATTTTTGCTTCAGCCATTCTTACAAACTCGTTATATTTAAACTTAAAGTTACTTTTTCTGTTTTAGATACTAATTAAAATTATAAAGCCCACTCGCTAAACATTTCAGCGGTATTGTGAAGCAGTTCCGCTTCCTCCTCACAATGTAATTTAACGTTTTTAGTTAATTTCTACCAAGCTAATTGAATTTCTACAGTAACTCAATGATTTAATTATTTCATTTGTTTATCTTACTATAAAGAATTGTTTCAAATGTGTTAAACTTTTCAAGCTACGCAAAGCATAAAACAGTTATTGAAAAAACTTTTTTATTTATAAATAAATCATCTAGCATTAGTTTATTGTTTTTTATTTATAGATAAATCATCTACTGTTAGTTTTATTGGTTGAACCTTGTTGGACTTTTCAGAGCCGGGTGCTGCATTATTTAGGTGGCCTTTTTCATGTGCCACAGCGTAAACACGACTAAAAAAAATACCGAATGGTTCTCTTGACTATTTTGCGCCCCCTAACATTGTGAGTCCCGAGGCTATAGCCCTTCTACAACCTTTCCCCCCCTCCTCCTCAAATTAGCACTGGAAATAAGACATAAGTATATAAATAAAAATTATATATACTCTTTGATAAATCAAAAAATATTTGTTTCCTTATTAAACAATCATTAATAGTAAGTTGTTACTTTATATAATAAATGCTGCTTTATTTTATAAAAAAAATTATAAAAGAGCGACGTTTCAAAAATATTTGCTCTAATCGTATTTATTTTGCCTAAAGTTTTTTCGCGTTAAAAGCTATTTTTCTTTTTTTAACTGTCTCTCATCAGTCCAGTTAATCTTATTGCGCTTTTTTGTTTGTTTTTGAAATGTTCTCAAAACGACTAAAAAATCTGGCCGGTTTTTTGCAACTAAATATTATTTCTGTGGTCAATTATCGAGTGCAATTGCACCTGCTTCCCGACCAAGCCTGTTTGTAAGAAAAGATAATGAGAATGTGCAGTTTGGTGATTGTCTGTTTTATTGAACAAAATGTATGAAATTAAAAAATACTTTGTCTTTAGCATTTCCCATAACAACAAGAGTTTTTCAATTTTAGGACTTATATTGTTTTTGAAATCTCAAACCAAACAAATGGAGATGATACACTCATTAATTTTGTCAAAGTAAACATTTCCAAAATTAAAAAAGAATTGAATCATGATTACTTTAGCATTAAAATAACAGGAATTTTGATTTTAATAATTTTTTAAATTATTATAAAAAAAGGAATGTATGTGCATACATTCCTGTGTATGTGCATACATTCCAGTGAGTGCATGCACTCACACTGTTAAATAAAATCAAAAAATTTTCTGCTATGTATAAAAGCATTTTTAAAAACTTTGTACAAGAATACAAGTACCTAGAAAGCGTAGTTGATCACTACCTAAAAATTTAAGGAATAAGTTTTTTAAAATGTTAAAACTTTTAATTGCTATGATAATAAGGTTACATGTGTTTAAAAAAGCTTAAAATGATAAACAATCTAAATGATTGTTCCAGCTTTAACTTACAATTCAAGTATAAGTTTGTTTTCTGCTGAGTCACATCTATGAAAATTTAAATCAGTCACCTGTTATGCTAATCAAAGGCAGGATATTAGTATAAGTTCAGTACATAATATTGTCAATGAGGCTCATTTGTTGGAATTAAGTTGTGTCTTCAAAAAAAGATTTTGCAATACTTTACTCTAAATAATTACTAAAGAAATCAACCAGATTCAATCAAGAAATCAACTCACTTATATACTACTCTCAAGTTAAACTTGAAAGTCTGTTGAAGGCAAAATGGTTTCCTAGAGAAAAAATATTTTATAAACTTCCATTTTATAAAAATTTAAAATTTTGTTTGAAAAACTTAGTTTTTATTATTTTAATAAAAAACTCCCTTAAAAACAAGCTTAATCTTTGTCTTGTTTTCAAGGGTTAAATTTCCACTTTTTAATTCTTCAATTTTTTTTTTTTACATTATGTTTCCTAAATTTAGAAAATTGGGTAAAACAGATTAACCAGCAAAAAGAAAGAAACTTTTCAAATTCTTTGTACAAAAAAAGTCACCATCTTTGATGACTTGCTAACTATTATAACCTTTCTGTTATAATAGTTAGCAAGTCAGCAGTGTGTTGTCAACTTCAGCAGCAAATATCTTTGAAGTCATCTAAGAAACTTTTTAACTACATGTTATTAATAAAAAACTATAATTTTATAAAAAGACACCTAGTATTGATGCTTTTCAATAGAAAGTATATTTATTCTAGTTTTTTTGTAAAAGTACACCTTGTGTTGATGCTTTTTAATAGAAAGTTTTAAAGCTTTTAACTAATTTCATTATTATCGAAGACCAGAACTAACATTTATAACAGTTTATTATAATAGTAATAGTAAAAATGATAATAATAATAATAATAATAATAGCAATAATAATAATAATAATAATAACAATAGTAATAGTCATACTGAAATAGCCTTTTACATGAGCTTAAGTGCATACATGGGCTAAAGATATGGGTTTAAGCGGGCAATATCTTTGCATAAAGGACATTTATAACTGCAGTGAAAAAGTTTTTTAAAATTATTTTTTATTAGTATTTCTTTTTTTTATTTGTCTAAAAAAGTGTCTGGGTTTAAATAGACCAAACTCTTATATAAGTATTTATAATTTTTTTGATTATAAACTTATAAATCTATGATTTTTAGTTTCTAGTCGAATTGTTTTATTTTGCTTTGATGTTATTAGGTTTATTCAAGATAAAGCATGCAATGTACCTAGTGGCAATAAAGTTCATATCAAGTTTTTTGTAATATTACCGGAAGTTGTTAAAAATCTTTTCATTGCATTTGGTAATGATTATCTTGGTGGATGGAATAACTATAGAGTTCAAATGATGCCTTTCAAGTATTTTTTTAATATAATTAAAAACCATGCATAAGTTTAAAAAAAATAAAAAAATAAGTTAAACTAAAGTTGAAAAAAGTATATAGGCTATTTATAAGTACATGTGTAGGCATGCATAAAATTTCATCAAAGTAAGCCAATATTCGATAAAATAAACCTAGTTAAACATTAAATTGCTGACAATAAAGTGTTGATTTAAATGTTGTCATTATAGTTAAAGTATGTTGATGCTAAAACTAAAATTAAAGTTTCTTTTTTGAAAAAAGAATTTTGATATGTATTATGTATTAAATTTGTAATTTTTAATTCAACTTTATTTTATTACTATTTTAGGCACTATCTAGAAGGAGTAATTTACCATGGTGACTTGCACATACCTGAACAAATTATTGAAAAGCCAATAGAGTATAAGTATGTTGCAGTTGGCAAAGAAAAGACCTGGGATGTTTTACATTTTACTTTTCCTCAAAAATCTGAAACTAATAGAATGTTAATAATACCTACTGATTTCAAGGAATTAGGTTTCAATATAAAATTATTTTACTATTTCTATTTACTTAATATTTTACTATTTTTATTTATATAATATATTTCTTATATTGTTAAGAGTTGTAAATACTGCTTACATTAAGAGCATTTAGAAATTAAATTGGAACTATTACATTTTATGAATATGGTAACTGTTTACAGTAAATAAAGTACTGGTTTAATATTAGCAACGTTTATTAATTAATGTGAATCATATAAACATTTATTGGCAAAAATTTTGAGAATTATTGATATCATTATATAATGTAATAATATTGTCTATTAAGGACAATTTTAATACTGCGTATTGAAGTTGTCCTTAATCGACAATAACTTTTCTTCATTTCCAATACTCTTCATGGTAATACTAATAATCAATCTATTTCTCTGCACATTGGCCTTGTTTGTCAAGGCCAATGTGGAGAGAAATTTGTGTTTTGGAGTAAAAAGGTTGAAACAGAGTTGTAACAACAATTAAAATAAAATAAAAATGAATACCCTCCTCCAATCTAGGGTTAAAGAGCTGAATACAGTTCTCCTCAGCCTTGAGAAGCTGAATATAATAAAAAAAAAATGTTTCTTAGTTAATGTCTGTTAAGGTTGCTTATTAAATATCTGTTAAGGTTGCCTATTATTGTGCTCACCATTTTTTTCTGGTTCTATTTTCTATTTTTATAAATGTTAGGAATTCTGTTGTCATATTTGAGTCAGGTCTTTTGATAAAAGTTTTATTCTCTTAGACAAAGTGTGAAAACCTATTCTAAATCTAGTTAGATCAACTCCAGCAGCTAAGCTTGAGCCTTGAGCTTGATATATATATATATATATATATATATATATATATATATATATATATATATATATATATATATATATATATATATATATATATATATATATATATATATCTGTGTGTGTGAACTCATCTTCTGTCATTCAGTGAAGATAAACAATCTTTACTTTCAACAAGTTGAAAGAAAACATTATGCTTATCTTCACTGAATGACAGAAGTAGAGTTACTGAATGTGTTGAGTGAAATGACGTTTGGATGACTCTGGCTCAAAACTTAGGGGTCAAATATATATTCAAATTTTATTGGAAGAGGTGGTTTAAACCAAAAAAATTGACTGAGGATCAAAACAAAAATATTATGACAATTTATCAAAACAAAAATATTAAAAGTACAAAGTACTTTCTATAAGAATTAGTTATGAAAAAAAAAAAAAGATATAAATATGTTAGGAAAGATCAACAAGCAAATCACAAATGGTCATCAGATAGTTTGGTTGGATGAAACAGATTTTAATCTTTTCTGTTAAAAATCACAAGGGTATTCCAATCAGGAGCGAAGAGCAATAATGCCTGCATTAAAAGGTGCAAACATACATTTGATTGCAGCTATATACACAACAAATATCGTCATGATTGAAACTTGCATTTATTCATAGATGAGTTTTTCCCGGGAATTCCAGAAATTCACATAAAACTCCTTAAATATTCCATAAATTTCCGGATGTTTTTTGTTATTAATTTGAAAAAAAATTAACATATTTTTACATAAAGTTTTAAATACAATAACTTTTGCATTTAAATAAATATGTTTTCTAGAATTAAAATTTTCACAAGATCAATTTTTGTAGTTTTTTTTCTTTTTTTTTTTTGCTTTTTAATTCATTCAAATTAACTTTTTCGAATATTAGAAATTCTTTTTTGTAAAAAGTTCTATATTCTAAATTCCGTTTTAAAAGTTTACCAAAGTTAAATACTCATCTATGATTTAATGCATAATCTTGTAGTGAGTATAATGCAGTATTTGGAAAGAATTATTACTGCATCAAAAAATACAATAATAGGAGATAATACAATATTAGGAGATACTATAAAGTATTATGCAAAGATTTATAATATGGAGGATGTCCGAGTTAGTGTTTAACTGAATATTTCAATGATTTTTATTGACATTGTTTAAATTCAATTTAAATCAATTAAAAACACCTCATAGGATTTTTTTAGTTTCTGTCAAACCGCAAATTTTTTTTTCTTTTTCATCACTTTTTTATTTTATTGATAGTATATTATTATTTATTTAAAATCGACTCATTTGTTGTCTTAGTCAAATTAAGAACCAACCTTAAGTTACAAAGTAAATTAAGGTAACAAAATTAAAAATACAAAGAACTTTGTCCTGAGAATCTATATTATAAACTTTTCTTAACTAAAACTATTATGTTCTCAATTAAATCTTACGATTTCTTATTTACAATTTTCATGTTTTTCATTACATCTTACATTTATCAATTACAACTTTTATCTTCTAAACTACACATCATGTTTTTTAATTACAACCTTCATATTTTTGCAAAGGTGTAGTAGCTATCTTATTTGAAAAATCAACATAAATAAACTATTTTAAAGACATTGTTTATTGTAGAATTAAAAAGAAATGCATCATTAAAAATAAGTAAACATAAACAAAGCTTTCCAGCGGTTTATTGATTTTTTCTGCATTAAGTTAAAGTTTCAAGGTAAAGAGATGAATTTTTTTTCCAACTTACACTCTTAAGTTTAATCGTTTTCCAAAGAACCTTTAAGGGTTCTTAGCGTTGATGCTCCTAGAGCACCCATAGAGGTTCTTCAAAGAACTCTTTGCGAAGGTTCTTTGAAAGAACCTCAAAATAAGGTTCTTTAAAGAACCCGTTATAGTTCTTCATCGAACTGTTAAATGTTTTGCATTATTACTAACGTTGCACTGATACTTTTTTGACTTCTTGAACATTTTTTATTATTAAATATTTATATAATATATAATTATTTAATAGACTTTTAAAAATTTAATAAAAATTTTTTGAGATATTTAAGCTAGTTGCTTAAGGCCAAAATTAAAATGTAAACAATGACTTTCCTAAATATTTAACATATATTTCAATATATGGTAATGAAGAATGAAAAAAACTATTTTTAAACTATTTATATAAATATTTTCAAACAATTAATAAAAATAAATTTTATTTTACAATCCAATATGACTTGATCTTCAATTATAAAAAAAAACAAGTATTTTCTAGTGTTAAATCTTATGTCCAATATATAAATGTTTTTGCTTGAAATTAGATGTACAAATAAACGTGATTTATGTATATTATATATATATATATATATATATATATATATATATATATATATATATATACATATATATATATATATATATATATATATATATATATATATATATATATATATATATATATATATATATATATATATATATATATATATATATATAAATATATTATATATATATTTATATATATAATATTTAATATATATATATATAATATTTAATATATTATATATAATATATAGTAATATATATATATATATAATATATATATATATATATATATATATATATATATATATATATATATATATATATATATATATGTATATATATATATATATATATATATATACATATATATATATATATAATATATAATAATATATATATAATATATAATATATATATTATTATTATTAAATCCTGTAACTGGTATGAACCAGTGAGTGTGTTATTAGCACACTATGACAGCTGATTTGCCTGACATCCAGCAATCAAGACCGGTTTTAAAACTGTTAACTGTTTCTGAATTAACCAAATTGTTCGGCAAGCTATTCCATAAATTAGTTGATCTGTTAAAAAAAAAGTTTTCTCGATGAACTTGCTTAGTGATTTTTTTTACATATTTTAACCGGTGACCTCTTGTTTCAGTTTGTTGAAAATTAAACTTTCTTTTTGTTTCTAATTTGTTGAAACCGTTAAAGATCTTAAAAAGTTGAATCATGTCTCCTCTCTTTCTTCTATTTGTTAACGTAGTTAAGTCAAGAGCTTTTAGACGATTCTCATAGTTGATTTTCTTGAGTGATGGTATTAGTCGAGTTGCACGATGTTGAACTCTTTCCAGCAAATCAATTTCACCCTTTTGATTTGGTGACCAAACGGGTACTGCAAATTCTAATAGTGGCCTGATAAAAAATACATAAAGTGATCTCAGTAGTCTAACATCTAAACAAACAAAGCATTTTCTAATCATACCCAACATTTGATTAGCTTTGCCTACGCATGATATCACTTGATTTTTCCATTTTAGGTTGTTTGAGAAAATTACTCCTAGATCTCTTTCAGATTCTGTTACGTTTAATTTTTGTTTATTAATATAAAGTGGTGATTTTTCTGTTATTAATCCCATAGTGCATGACCA